CGGGAGGGAGGGCGGGCGGGCACGCAGCGCAGGGACGGCCCCCAGGGCACATGCCGGCTTCACTTCCACCCGCTCTGGTCCCGGGCACCGCGATCTCCAGCCCTTCCCTTTCCCACCGGGTGGTGTAAAACCCTGATCTCCTTGCCGGGGCCTCTGAGGGAGCCACTCAGCCTCTCTGGGCCCGAGTCACCTCTTCCAGAAATCGGGGCAATAAAGCACCCACCTGCCAGGGTTACTGGGAAGGTCGGACGAGCCAATGTGTGGGAGATGCTTTTAAAACTTTAAAGCACCGGAAAAATATGAAATTTACTTCCACTTTGTCAACTCCACGAGACGCCACCTGAGGGGCGGGGATGATATCCGCTGGCGTTTCTGCAAGGCTTCCACGCGCTTCCACGCAGCCCTGCTTTAATCCTCCCCACACATCACCCTCAGGAGGAGGCCCTGTTATTCCCCCCTCTCCAGCCACCGGGATCTGTGATCATTTGATTAATCGCGAGCTCTCTCGCTCCCCAGGGATGGGACTGTCTTTTCTCGCTGGCTACTGTCCCTGGCACAGAGGAGGCAGGTCTCAGTAGAGAGAGGAGGAAGCAGCCTCTGAGAGGCCCGATCCTGCCCAGTGTTCTGGGCAGCTGTTAGGTGGCAGGACGAAGATTCGAACCCAGATCCGCCTGACTGGTGCTGAGGCCACCAATCCTGGCATCAGGTTCTCCGTCTTTCCTCTCACTGCACCCTGGCAGCTCTGCTGGTCTCCCAGGGCTCCCAGGGGGCTCATCCTGGGTTGCTGCCCACACCCCATTACCTCTCCTCCCAGGCCTGCTTATGTGTACACAGGTGCCCGACGGGATCTCAGAAAACAACCCCCTAACCCACCCACACCGTCCTGTCCGTATCCTCCTGACAGACAAGGGGAGGTAGGGAGAGGGCCCCTTTGAGTTGGCCTTAGCCTGGTTTTGTGGGCAGCTGACCACTGCCAGCCAAGCCACACCACTCCCTACTCACTCTCCTCTCCCTCTCTGTTACCTGACTTAGGGGCTGGGCCTCAGGATGGGAAAGAAGAGGAAATAGGACAAAGAAGCCTGGGAACGTAGTGTCTGAGCCACCGTGTGAAGCTTGGGCACCCGCTACTAGAGAAGGTAGGGTACTGGCGCCGGGCGGACACTGTCTCTCATCAGCTTCCTTGAGGGGGAAGAACTTTCCTCTCTGGTAGGAATGACAAAAGGGCCAGAGGTATGGGAAACTAGCTATGAAAACTGACGTGGAAATTATGGCTCTCTTTGTTCTCCAACATTTCAACAAGATAGAAGAGAGAGAGAGAAAAAAGACAAAGAAAAACGATGAGCACTTTCAGGCCATTTCTGGCCAGGGGATGTTCAGGCTGCCAGCGCACACGCACAGGCCGATTGCATATGGCTCTCTTTGTTCTCCAACATTTCAACAAGATAGAGAGAAGAGAGAGGGGGAAAAAAAGACAAAGAAAAATGATGAGCACTTTCATGCCATTTTTGGCCAGGGGCTGTTCATGCTGCCAGCGCACACGCACAGGCCCATTGCACATCACCCCCCGGACGGTTTGATCACAAGAGTGCACTGTTGTCGGGAAGCCTCCCTCCCTCTCCCTCCTCAGTTTCCCCATGTGTGGACGTACAGAGTCCCGCTGGGTCTTCTTTCCCTTGGGGGGCTGGTGTCAGTGTCCTTGCTCAATACGACATCCTCTTCTCCTCTCCCTACTCCCTCTTCTGTTGAGACCCCCCTGGCCTTGAACTTGAACTCCTTCCAGTTTCAAATATTCTTATCTTGGCCTCTAGTTCCTTCCTTCAGTCAGATCTGGGTTCTTGCAGAACGTTCTGTCCCAGGTCCACCCCCGCACTCCCACCCTCAAACCCCACCCCAGATTCCCCAAGTTCCTCAGCCCAAAGATCCATTCCTCAGCCCAGGGCTATTTCTCCTTCCCTCCACCCTGACATGTAAAGCTCATCACCCCAAGCTGAGTGTTGGCAGCGGTGTCTGCGGGCCCCTTGGAGAGCCTGGGCCTTCTTTGGGCCCAAGAAGGAGCTCTTTGACCTTGGGCAAGTCTCTTAAGTTCTCTGAGCTTCAGTTTCCTCATTTGCAAAATGAGAATAGCTACCTACATCCACTGTGACCAGAAGGCTGCTGAGAAGGTCAAATGAGATGGGCAGGGTGTGTCTACCACTTGGCACAGTACTGGGCGCACTGCTGAGTCTCTGAAAGGACCATCAGAAGAGGTTCTATTGGAGGTGCTGTTGGAGTGATGACTCAAGGTGGAGGTTAGAAGATGCTGCTCCAGAGCTGTGTGAAAGAGATGCCTTTTCAGTGTGGCCTTTTAATTATTTTCCCTTCTCTACTACTTTTCTATGTCTCTGCTTAGATCTGTGCCTCTGGCCACTATTAGCCACTAATGTGTTAGTCTTCCAGGGGGCCAGGAATCCAGGCACAGTACCTAGCATGGATCAGAATCACCCATCGGTCCCCTTGGTCCTGCTTCTCTCTCAGGGGCAGCGGTGCCTCTTCCAGGACGGCAGAGGGAGGACGCTGGTGCTCAGCGGGCTGCTCCAGCCCCTGCACAGCCCTCTGAGCGAGCAGGGCCATGATGGAACAGTCGGCAGTGCCCAGAGAAATGCCAACAGGATGTGTGTGTGATTGCGGTTTCCACCATGAGCGTTAACACCACCCAAACTAAATTATTTCATAAATTGCTGTCACTTTTGGCAGACCTTCCTCAAGTCAGCAGACAGCTTTATCGGAGCTACAAGGAAGTCCAGACAGACGCTGGGGAACATGCCTTTCTGGAGTTCTGTATCTCCAACTCTCACCGCCATTTTACATAAATTTCTACCCAAGACCAGATAGAAAGCCACATGCCATGTATTCGATTAACAATTTGCAGTTGACGACAATGTATTCCCCGCCAGAGATAAACTTCTTTTGGGCTTTCGTATATACGTACTGCGGAATCATGGAATAATAGAGCTGCAAGGGGACTTAGTGATGATCTAATGTTGCCTTTTCATTTTACAGCTGAGCTCAGAGTAGGTAAGAGACTTTCCTAAAGACACACAGCAAGTTAGTGGCAGAATTGGGCCTAGGACCCATCCTTTCTTGATAGGAAGCTAT